TTTAAACTTTATAAATAAAGATAAAATATAGCTTAAGTCGATCACAAATATTTTCGGTATTGAAACTACATTTCTCGCACTATTTGAAGGTAGGCTGTAATTTGATTGTTTAGAGCCTCGGCTCTATACAAACTGCACCTTTTAAATTTTGGTATAATTTCTCTTTCTAAAAAATTTCAAGTACTTTCTCTCTCTAAAATTTGATATAGTTTTTTCTCTCTAAAACTTAAAATTTGAAATAATTTCTTTCTCAAAATATTTTGAGATAGTTTATCTCTTTAAATAAACTTAGGTACTTTCTCTCTCTAAAATTTAATATAGTTTTTCTCTCTCTCTAAAACTTTAGAATACTTTTTCTCTCTAAAAGTTAAAATTTGAGATTATTTGTCTCTAAATTTTTGTTTCTCTCTTTAACAATTTTTAACTACTTTTTAATTTTCATACCAAATGTGTCTTATGTTTCGGGTCGAGGGGCCAACGGATCCATGAAGCTTGAAAATTCAAAAAAAATTCCATAAAGCTTAGAAATTCAAAAAAACAAGTTTGGAGTGGAAATGAAATTATGGAAATATTTGGTGATTTTCAAGATTTTTAATTTCCATAAAATTCTAATATTCTAGTCATTGAGAAAACCCAGACAGTACATTTCATTAATATCCAAAATATAAAAATCCATGCTCCAAAATCCATGTGCCCAACTGGTTAGAATTCCAACCGGGTTAGAATACTCATTTGAAAATCTTACAGTGGATCCCAAAACTTTAGATTAAAAAATTACATTTGGTCTCTGAAAGTGTACGCGTGCAGTACGCTCCTACAAAAGCAATCCATAGTTTAAAAAAACAAAATTGCACTTTTACTCCCACATGTTCATACACTTTAAATGGTATTTGGCTGCTTGTTCAACTTTAACTTCTATTCGTAATTGAGAATGGGATTGGGATCGTGGATATAACATCACCTCAACGCAAGCAAAGAATAGCTCAAAAATAAAATAAAATAAAATAAAGTTTTGAGAGATTATCCTCTATATTTGGGTCAAAGGAGTCAACCCATCTTTCACAACATCAAACTTTTTATCACCAAATTTTTTTTTTTTGTTGACTTTTCCTTTTAAATACAACTGCAATAATAAAAAATATAAAATAAAACACACTCTTAATCACCAACCAATAATCTCTTGGTTGACTTTCTTCTTTAAATACAATTCTAATAATAAAAAATATAAAATAAAACACATTTATCTCTCTCTCTTATGGTTTTCTCCCTATAAAATAAAAAATAATTGAAAGATTTTGAGATATTATATTCTATATCTGAGTCAGCAAGGGAGTGTCACACCCCAAGAATTTACAATACTGATATTCCTGAGATGTGGCAGTCAAAACATATATATACATCTCTTTTTAGGACAAATTTACAATGACGAATTTTTAAAAAGTAACAAAAGAAAGTTTAAGCACAACTTCAATATCTTCTAAGGTTGATCTTGACTAGCACTCAAAATGAATCCGCAGTTATCCTGAAAAAATGTTTACCATAGTTTGATGAGTTTGGCTACTCAGTAAGTGATCATCATAATCCTAAAAATAATCATGATTGAAAGATATCAATATTTTCCAAAATGAGATCTATTAACAGAAATGCATCAACAGTTTTACTTTCAATAAATGCATAATTAAGTATAATCCGAATAATTGAAATGCTTATAACACTTTTAACGGCAGTGCATAATTCAAAGGATTTCACAAAATACCCTACTGGCGTCCCAAGTAGGTCACCTATATACCCCATCAGCGTACTGATGGATTCACTTAATCCCTATCGGCGTCCCAGATAGATCCACTTAATCCCTGCAGGTCCACTTATACCTCACCGGCGAACCGGATGAGTCCACTTAATCCCTACCGGCGTCCCAGATAGGTCCACTTATACCTCACCGGCGAACCGGATGAGTCCACTTGCATACTTAAATTATTTCTAAATCTCTTTAAACATTCGAAAGCAGCAATATCATGTACTCAACATATCACTGAAATCATTAATATGAATTTCACTTAAACCATTAATAACAGTCACTCTCTATAACATTTCAAAAATAATCAATCAAATATTTTGGGCTCAAATTTAGAAACGTAGCAGTTTGTAAAAG